TCCCTACTTAAACTCTCCTTTGGCACTCGGAAAAAAGAACAACCTTTTCCATACAAAAGTTAAGTGCTGTGAGTGTCAAAGAACTGTTTGTTGCAAGGAAATTGGGCTTTCTGAACCTGGTGTGGGCTAGAAGCGATAAGAATCACTAAGTGGAGTTCTTAGTGGATTGTGTGCTGTGCCGTCTCTGGGGAAAGTTGTTCTTCATCTCTTGTGGGTTTCAAGAGAGGTGTTATCTTTATCTTTATCTTGTCAATTGTAATCTGTTGTAACAACTTGTTTATAGTGACAGCGTTAATCCTCTGTTTGAGTGATTAGCAACTGGACGTAGGGTCTTTTGATCCGAACCAGTATAAATCTCCTGTGTAAGACTCTATCCCTTTCTCTATTTACATTTACACAGTTTTTAATCGGTAAAATTTGGGGAAAATTTTGAAAACCTAATTTTTATTAAGAAACCAATTCACCCCCCTCTTGGTTTTTGTCCGACCACGCGATCATTCCGCTGCGCGATTCTAACACTATGTTGATTGTTGGAGGCTTCAAGAGTTACATTGTTGGAAGGTGTTAGAAATTTTCTCTTTGTCATTAATGATTCCTCAAGAATTATGTGATTTTTCATTATGAAACAAAATTTGAGGCTATAATGAAGTTCAAGGATTGGACCATACTCATACTTAATTAAACTAGAAGAAGGTTATCTATGGACAAATAAATCATTTAGGTATGCTCCAAGTGTTTTAACAACTTTTTTAAATACCTAGGCATTGTCAGACATCTGACTTTTTGTCACACATTACAACAGAATGTGGTGGCTGAAAGATGAACAAAACCTTATTGAAGAGAGAAAAGTATATGTTGGTGCAGTAAGAGCAAAATAGAAGGTACTTGGGTGAAGTAGTCAATATTCTCCTTTTGTAACTATTGGTTACAAGACTATATTTGAGACACGACCTGAGAAACCAATTGATTACAACTAAAGGTTTTTTGGGTGTCTTGTTTACTATCATGTTAATGGAGGTAGAACCCAAATTGAAGAACGAAGTCTTCGTGGGCTTTGGGAGTAGAGTGAAGGGTTTTCAAATTTAATCACCTTTTGAGAAAAAAAAAATGATATTGAGTACAAATGTTGTGTTTTAGTCTCTTTGTTGCATTTGAAACTAGGAGTAGAAACATTTAGTATTTACATACAAGTTATTATCATCTCCTACACTTCTCTGATCTTTAATTTTTCATTATTGTTTGTGTATTAACTTCTTACTCCATTATATAACACACCACAATTTTTTCAATGATCAAGTTATTAACCTCATTTTATACCTAAGAAAATAGGCTTTTTAGCTTACCCTGATGGGCCAATTGAAAAAATTGTGTTGGCCTAACACATATTTTAAATGGGAAAAAGAATTATCCTAACTTTTACCTTATTTTTGGTTCAGCAGGTAATTTAGATATGATTTATATGCATAAATACTAGTACATGTATATATTTTAATAAAACAAAATTATGTTTAATTATGTTACAAGTTATTTGGGTTAAACTACTGCAAAATCGTATTTTTTTATATGTTATCTATTACATGAGAATCGATTTAAAGGTAAATGCAATAATATTTTTTTAATGATTGAAATTTTTTTATATTGATAATATATTGGTTCTAAAAGAAACTGATATTGTGTGAGATATTATATCAATTATATTAATGACCAATGTAGAAACTTTTTTATATTACTATTTCATGTTTTTTTTATTTTTTCACTATTTTTTTAAAAATTATTTTATGATGTGTCATCGTTGTCATTACACTTTCTCAACTCTCCTTATATGAAGATTTTTCTCTTTGAACTTCTCCATATTAAAATTATTCTTCTACAAAATTCATCCTCTTTAAAATTTTTTTTAAGATTCTCTTCTCTAAAGACATTATCCTTATTCTTTTAGTGTTATTATCATCTCACATCTCTCTTGTTTTCATCATTCTAGATAAATATATTTTTTTTATTTTTTTTACTAATTATATAGACATATATCATCGTTATTTTTAAAATTAATATTATATATTTATTTTTTATCATAATTATCAACGGATATAAAAACTTTCCCAATGACATTTACATCGATTCAACCACCCATGTAAAAGAGTCACAATAAAACTTATACTCTAGAGTGATCACAAACCAATGCAAAAGTAACTCATGCATTTTAAGACCAAACCTTGCATTTAACCACCATCTAGTTATAGGGAGTGTATTAATAGTAATTGCAAATATATACTGGAACATTAAAATTCAAAACTATTGCAAAGAGAATCCTACTAATTTTGCCACCACCACTAATCAATGGAGAAAAAAATAGTTGTAACTGCAAATAGAAACAACAAAATGGAGTAATACAACCCGTTCTATCTTTCCAAGAGTGGGTCAAGCCAAATTGACCTGTCATAGTAATTATGGGTGGAGAGCTTGTCATAGTAATTACGGGTGGAGAGCTTGACCCGTTCCACCAAAGAGAAAGACACAATAACATGTTGGTCCACCAAATTTGAAAATTTTCCAAACTAAATATTTTTTTCTTAAGTCACACCTAATGATTTGAATATTTGTTATCCCTAATAACAACGAATCAATCTAGCAAAGAGTATACAAAATTTAAAATCAACAAAATCAATAAACTTATGAATAGTAAGAGAAATTAAGAGTTATACTTACAACAAATAAAAATATAGTAGATTTTAACTCGACAAAATGGGAAAACTTCAACTATTACCCCACTGTTATTCTACACAATTTGTTATATATATATTCCACTATATTGTATTATGCAATGATCAAGTTTCTAATAAAGTTTCATTATCTGTTTGTTTTTTTATTAATATTATTTAGATAAAACTTTTTCATATTTCGTAAGATTTAAAAAAAAAAATTATGAAGTTTACAATATTCACAAGAAAAATCGTATAAAAAGTTCATATTTTTATAGAAAATTGATTAGAAATTTTGTATAAATCATACAATTCTGGTAGTGGATATACTTATATTTTGTTTCCTTTTTATGTTGCCTAGCTTAACATTATTTTATTTCTTTTTAATTCTCCCTTTTAGACTCATTCATAGACATGGTTCTTGTAGTAAAAATATACAATAATATAAAGAAAAACCTTTTAAATTTTAGGTACTAAATTGAAACATAAAATATAGATTAAGGGGCATAATTTTATTTTAGACAAACCAGGACTCTAAAGCGTCAAACACAAAAAAAAAAAAATCTGAATAATTAGCGAAAACAGTTATTCAACTAGTAATATATATTACTAAAATAATTGTTCAAATCTAGACATGTGTTATGATATTTGCTGGAAAAAAAAAAGTTATGTCCCAACGATGGGATAGTAAATATTAGTGAGAAAAAAGAATACTTTCCAGAAAAGAAACCGAGCAATTGGAATGGATTTGGTGTTGTTGAACAAGTACTATTATAGTATTATTTATACAACAAATTTTGCCATAAGAAAAATAAATTTTCTACGTAAATGTTAGATAAAATAAGTAGAGGTACGAATAATTTCTACCAATGAAGAAAAAAATACGCTGGATAAAATAAGTGATGCGATAAACGTGGATTAAAAAAATGTAAATATTATTAAATAAAATAATTATATAAATAACATTAGATTTTGGAAAGTGGATCCATCCTTTATAACTACAAAAGATACCCTAACGTAAAATATTTAACCACCGGAGAGAAAGGACTGGTAGCCTTAACTCTTAGGACACATGTACTTCACTTAACGTGAAGATGTAGTTTCATGTCAAATGATTTCTGGCTGGACTCTCAAATAAAATTCTTAAGAACGTCCTAATTACAATTGGAATCTGCAGAATATCTGGTTTAGTTGAGCACAATCCCTCAAAAGCGATATTTATAATGAAAATGCATGCCCCAAGAACGTTCACACATAATTTTACTAAACAAATCGTAGTACAAAATTTTTATTATTGGTCGTTTGTCACCATAAGTTGTGCTTAAAACAATAACAAAACATTAATTTTTTTTAAGTTCATTTCAGTTGATGAAAATTGATTTTATTTTCAAAACTAATAATATGTCCAAATATAGGTTATATATATTTATATAATCATGCTTAAAATGAAGGGATATTTAATTTCATGATATAACCTGTTTTAGTAGAAATCTTTGAAGCAGAAACCACCAAAGAAATAAAAAAATAACAAAGAAGAAGAAAATTCTCGTATTTAATTGACATGTCAAAAAAAAAAACTTGAGTACATGTTGATCCTATAATAGAATTAATATACACCCTCTTGATCTAAACACCTAATTTAAATTCTAATTTTTCTCTTCACCTCATGTTTTCATATCGCATAACAATTATTATAAAGTTTATCTTTTTTTTTAAACGTCGTTTACGTGTTTTTTATTTTTATTTTAATGGATATCTATGTATATTTTTCGAAGGCAATAATAAGTAGCTATTCATCTACTTGCCTGTTTTGTTATGGACCACACTGCCACTTGCATCCATCTTCAACAATTTAAATTTGGGAAACATTAAGATATCCTTTAAAATCTACTTAACAAACAGAAGAATTCAAACGTGAAAGAAGGGTAGACCCATGTTTTGTACTAGCTTTCTCTATCTCTCTCCCACTGGGACAATGTTCTTATATTTGAAATATGTATATGACGAGCAATGCAGCCAAAGGTGCATCATCTTTTACGTCATATGAAAGCCCTTCCAGCTCTTCAATCTGCACAACCCTGTCTCTTCCCTACAATGTTTTTTTTTTTATATTTTTTTTTTTCATATCTCCTTATTTTTACTCCTTTTGGACGTTCTATAAAATGCTTTCTATTCCAATAACATCACATTACTTGCCAGCAAAGGAAGCAGCAGTGAGCACCTCCAGACTCTCCTCCTCCCAATCATTCATTTGTCAACTTTTTATAGACCTCCATTTGTGTATGCAAATTTCTTTTGGACATGTGGCCTACATTAGTGGCTAATAAGATATTCAAGAAGCGACTAGGAAGCAGCAATTTTATAGCAGATTATCCTAGCTGTAAAGAACCCTTGCTGGGTATTGTAGACTTTGATCAGAACTCACAAACCATTCTTAATGATCACAAGGACACACAAAAATGCAAGTAAGAACAAAATTATCCTCTTCTTCCAGTTTTATGTAGGTACTTTTCTATCTCATCATATATTGAAAAGCTGCAGAAAACTGCAGTTTTAAAGTATTTAAATTTGTGGATACAGGCTAAGACTTTTCCAGAGTTTTTTTACTGGAAATATAAAACCTGTTTACAGTTATGTATTGTATCCAAACAGCTTCTAAGCCTGATTAAGTTCAATTCTCTTCTGGGTTGGTCTTGCTTCTGTGTTTGTTCTTTTTTTTTATCCTTTCAACTTTTCTTATAGTGTATTTTACTTTATGTAAGGGTATTTGTTAGTACATGGAACGTAGGTGGGATTGCACCAGAAGAAGATTTGAATATAGATGATTTATTGGAGACATGCAACAACTCTTGTGACATCTATGTACTAGGGTATTGTCAGAACTGCTTCAACGTTTTGTAATGTGAATAAAGAAACTTTTGATCGGACTAAATTTTTTTATTTTTATTTTAACTATTTCCCAATCCAGGTTTCAAGAAATAGTGCCTCTAAAACCATCAAATGTATTGGGATCAGAAAACAATGAGATTTCAATGAAATGGAATTCCATAATCAGGGAAGCTCTGAACAAGAAAGCACATGAGAGGGGCAAAGATCACAGTGATGCTAAAAAAGAGGAGCTACAGAATAATTGCCCCAATAAGAAAGAAAATCCAGCCAAGTACTGTGAAGCCCCACATGATTTCCAATGTATCATTAGCAAGCAAATGGTTGGAATATTCATATCTGTGTGGACTAGAAGACATCTTAGTCCATTCATTCGGCATCCAAGCGTGTCATGTGTAGGCTGTGGCGTAATGGGGTGTTTAGGAAACAAGGTAACCTAACAAACCCCACTGAATTGATGTTACTCTTGCTCCTTAACATACGTATTTGTTTTGTACTGTACTCTGAAAATTAGCACTGTCAACATCAATCTTTTATGAAGCACATAAGGCACTCTTGGTAAACAACTATGCTCAGTAAAAGTTTATCGCGCATGAGTTTATTCATAAGCCTTATTCTAAAACTTACTACGATAAATTTAAGAATTATTTTGACATTGAAATGAGTTGAAAAATCTTTATAGAAAAATCATAAACAACTACTTTTAAGTCCAATAAATTATGCATAAACTCTTTTGCATGTCTCAGTTAGTGCTTAATAGTCAAAAGTCTTAGCTCACATCAGAACTGGTTATCTAAAAATCCTAGTTGGGTTAACTTTGGTTTTAATGATTCAAAACTCCAATTAATTTGCAGGGTTCTGTATCAGTGAGATTTCAGTTACATGAAACAAGCTTCTGCTTTGTGTGCAGCCATCTAGCTTCAGGGGGCAGAGAAGGGGATGAGAGATACAGAAACTCTAATGTTGCTGAAATATTTTCCAGGACAAGCTTTCCTAGAGGCCCTTTGCTTGATTTGCCAAGAACCATTCTTGATCATGAGTAAGTGAAGTTTGAAACCGTCCAACAAACTGATTCTTAATAATTTTGCCCCCCTTGCTTTTAATTTAATAATTATGGTCCTTTCCCCAAAAAAATCATGTAAGCAAGGAGCAAATATTAAATACATCGTTTCACTTGGTTTGTTGGTTCTTGGAATAAATAATTTGCTTAATGAAGAAGCATCATTGATGATAATCTTGGCTTTGAATTCGTCCAATATAAATCATGCTACCAAAACATTAATATATTACTCATCCTTGGTTTAATGTTTTAAACTGAACTACAATTACAAAGTTCATTAACTTTAGAGAAGTTGTAATGAAATTGTTCTGCTATATATTAATTATTGGATACTGTGCACCCTTTACATAAAAGAAAAATGATAACAGAGGTTCTATGAGAAACTGATTACATTGTTTAATCTATATTATTCTCTTGAATTGAAACATTTGTCTTAGAAAAAATAGAGCATATTTAAAAAATGACAGTAACAATTAACCTCATATTGACCACTAAACCATAAATTAAGGAAATATAATATCTCCAACTTGCATATAATTATTATTTTAAGCATCTAATCACTCATAGGCTGGTGCAGTCATGTAATATTCCTTGGAGACTTAAATTACAGAATTTCTCTACCAGAAGAAACGACACGATTGCTTGTTGAAAAAGGAGACTGGGATTCCTTATTAGAAAATGATCAGGTATATATATATATATATATATATATAGATAATGGATATTTAAAACTCTTCTTGAATTGAATCCTCAAAAAAATCTTTAAAATAACTTTTATCCGTAATTCTAACTTGATTAAATTCAATGAAAATGAAGTTAATTACAGAGCTAACGACTGGAAACATGTTGAGAGGTTGGCACGAGGGAGCAATTAAATTTGCACCGACCTACAAATATTGTCCGAATTCAGACATTTACTATGGATGTTTCTATCAAGGGAAAAAGGCAGAGAAGAAAAGAGCACCAGCATGGTAAGAGAAAACATAAATATAAATAGAAATAGAAAAGTCTATGAATGTGTTCAAAACATTCACTGTTGAATAGTTTTTTTATCGAATTATTGTTTGCTGTTAACGTAGGTGCGATCGAATAGTATGGTACGGAGAGGGTTTAAAGCAACTTCAGTACACTAGAATTGAATCAAAACTGTCAGATCACAGACCTGTTAAGGCAATGTTTACAGCAGAAATCAGGGTTTTACCCGAGCTGATGAAAAACTTGCAAAGCTTGTTCTTATCAGAAAGATTCGACCAAATTAAAACACCCTTCGAAGTTTCTACAGCTGATGATTTTGTACGTAGAAAACGATCAAGCTTCCGGTTGTGATTCATTAGCGTGTTTCCTTCCTAATCTTTGCATAAAAATGTGTCTGATATATGATCCAAATTTTAATCCAAGACTTCAAAACCTTAGCATTGAGATCACTGTTGTGGTTGCATGTGTTTTTCTCTGTGCCTTCTTCAAAACAAAAAAACTTTGGTGTGATCTATGAATAAATGTTGAATTTTACATGAAAAAAATTTAAAAACGAAGGCTATAAATTGAGTGGAAGGAAAGTGGGAAACTTCTAGGAGATGACATATTATAAGTTTTTGTTGCTGATGAGTATACAGTGAAGTTGGTTGTTGTTGAATTATCTAGTATTTTAGTTATGTGACAACATGGAAATATGTCAAAGCCTATTGGAAAAAACTATGATCCAAAATAGTTTCCTATCATTTGCAGCTTAAACCCAAGTGCAGTGCCCACTCCCAATTAATAAATCAATTTAATTATAATATTGTAGATTGCTACCTGAGAATCAAATAAATTGGAGCACTCAAACTGCATGCTTTATGATATAAAGTTTATAAACAACTACATTCCATCCAAAATAGAAAAATAAATTATAATCCAATTATTGAGCTAGTTAAGGCCCTCAATTGCTATCTTTGACAGGAATTGAAATGAGTATGTTGATTTTATTATTTTATTATTATTCATATGTTTAGAAGATATCACTTAATAAATGCAATTGGTTAGAAGAAATGAGCTAAGTGGTGTATTTAATGACAAGTGATATGTTATTTGAGATAAAAAAAAACAAACACCCCAAATACTAATTTCCACTTAAAAAAAGGAGAAAAAGAAAGAGAAATAATAAATCTAAGAGAGAGAGAAATTGCATGTAAGGAATCAGTATGAAACAACACATTCCAACAAAGTCACACCCTTAGACCAAACCAAACTCATGCAGCCATTTTTTCTTTCTTATTGAGAAGATAATAATATTTTTCTATTAGGTAAACTATTTCAGTAGCACTTAATTTTTAATATTCTTTTACTTTATTATATTTTCTCATTATTTTAAAATCTACATACAATTTCATTACTAATATTTTTTTCTTCATATCAATTTATTAACTTTGTAACGAGAAAAACGTGTTCACTACAAAAGATTGATAACTTGAACATTGTGACACATTAACTAATATTATTTTCTTTCCATGTTGTCTCTTTTTTATTTTATTTTTTTAACTTTTTTTTATCTTACAATTGTTTATAAGATTCCCTATTATTTTTGTCTTCAAGTAAATTATTTAAAATATATCATTGTTTATATTTTGAAAAATAATTTTTTTTTCATAACGATTTTATTGATTCTAACAAAATAATTTAGTAAGTCAAATAATTTATTTTAATTTTTTTTTATACTTATATGAAACAACTAATATGATTTTCTCATAAAAAAATTAAAATGTTTTCTTTTATAGATTTATGACGATTCGATTATATATTATTTGTATCATTTAAAATAGTGATATTTATGAATATTTATATAAATTTAGTATTATATATCTATGTTTAGAATTTAGTGTTATATATTTGTTAAATAAAATTTAATTTTTATATTTGATCCTTTATTCGTTAATCTTAGTTTCATTACGATGCATCAATCCAACTCAATTTATTAATTATATAATATACTTTTATTTTACTTTATTATTTTTATATGTTTTGTAAAAAATAAAATTGAGAAAATACGTATATCAATCATTATATATATTTTTTTATCTTTGTCTTTTTATCTAAATATTTTTTTAGAATATAGGAAAGAAGTTAAATCTTTATTTTGTATTTGATGATTTATTGCAGGTGAGGAAATAAGAGGTGGATGACCAACTGGAATCGGTCACTATTTCCTTGGTCACTAAATCAATGAAAAAGTTAATCAATAACAAATTTAATTATTTTTATTTATTTATATTTTTATTATATTTATTTAGTTTAACTTATGATTAGGTGATTTATTATCATTGTCGGGATTCGAACCCGGTACCTTAGAGTTGGAGGCTGAAACTCCAACCATCGAGCTACTAGGATCTTTTAATAATAACTTACAAATAAATTATATTTATATACAAATAAATGTATATCCAGTATAAATATATAAATATAAAATCTATAAATAAAAATATATTTATATATTTTAATATATATTTAAATATTGATATATTTATATATTGATATATTTATATAGCATAATGTATATTAATATATGAGGGGATAATATTGATATATTGATATATTTGTATATATATATATATATATATATTTATATATATTTATATATTTGTATATTTATATATTTATATATTTATATATTAATATATTAATATATTTATATTTTTATATTTTTATATTTTGATATATTTATATATTTATATATTGATATATTGATATATTTATTTATATCCTTATACATTTATATCTTTATATATTTATATATTTGAAAAAAATATTAAATTTTAAAAATAATATTATATTTTTAAAAATAAATATTAGAAAAAGATTTAAAAATATATATAAATTATATTTAAATTTACAAAATATTAAAGATATATGTTTATATCTTTACATATTTATATATATTTATATGTTTATATTTTTACATATATTTATATCTTTCCATATTTATATATTTATATATAAAGATATTAGTTTTGTATACAAATAATATTATAATATAGTATATTATACTATTAGTATAGTATACAAATAATATGTTAGTATAGTATAGTATACAAATTATTAATTTTGTAATTTATATACAATGAAAATAATATAATGGTATATTGGTATAGTATATTTGTATTCTAATTTTTAAATAAACTAAAATTACGCTAAATGTATAATAATATATGAGAGGATAATAAATTTAATCCAATTACTTTTATAAATATATAAATATAAAATCTATAAAATATTAAAAATGATATTATATTTTTAAAAACAAATATTAGAAAAAGGTTTAAAAACTAGTATTATCTTAAATTTATTAAAAGTATAATTAAATCTCTATTTTCTTAAAAAAAAATTTAAACTTCTCAATTCTACATTTTTGTAAATTCTATCATTATATTATCATGCTCATTATATCAAAATGTTAAATACTTTTAAATATTAAAATTAACTTTATCAAAAATTAGGAAAAAAAAATTAATCCAAAAGAGTTCAAAAATATATTATAATATTGTCAATTTTGAGTTTAATTATATTGTTCATTCTCAAAGTAGAAAAATATATTGTAATTATTTTAATTGAATAAAATATAATTTAAAATTTTAATACTAAAATTAAAAGATTAAATAATAATAAATTTAATTCTTTAAATTCAGTAGTTAGAAACTAAAATTATAGTTTCTCTGTTTTAAATAATTAAAATAAATATTTAAAAATCAAAATCAAAACTAGTATTATCTTAAATTTATTAAAAGTGTAATTAAATATCTATTTTCTTAATTTTATTTGTTTCAAACTTCTCAATTCTACATTTTTGTAAGTTCTATCATTATATTATCATCCTCATCTCCTCTCATGTTCTACTTTATCTTTACAATAGTCAATATTCTTAAATAATTTATAGTTTTAATTATAATTTTTTAGTATATATTTAGAAATTAATCAATTCTAATATATTATTTGAAAAACTAATCAATTCTAATCAATAATTTAGAAAACTAATCGATTATAATTAATTATTTGAAAAATTTATCAAATATGATCGATCATTTTGAAAATATAATCGATCAGAATCGGATTTCGCTTGAGCGAGAGTAGTCTCGCTCAAGCGAAATACACTTCAGATATCGTATAAGCCTTAACCGATATCATATATACACTTTAGATAGCGGTTATAAGGGAACCGCTATTATATCCTCTCAATTATGATCGATCATTTCAAGTTATGATCGATCAGAATCAGTATTTCGCTCGAGCGAGAGTAGTGTCGCTCAAGCGAAATACAACCCGAGAATGCCAATTTTGTGCAGGGGCGTTTCGCTCGAGCGAGAATATTTTCGCTCAAGCGAAATACATTTGAGATAGCAGTTCCACAAGAACCGCTCTTAAAAGTGCACTTCTAATAACAGTTAACCATTAACCGCTATCTAAATTATACTTTAGATAGCGGTTAACGTGGAACCGCTATCATATCTTCTCATGAAAACTATTTTTTTGAATATTATGTTTTTAAATTTGCTATTAGAGAAAACCTTTCAGAATTCAAAATGTTAAATACTTTTAAATATTAAAATTAACTTTATCAAAAATTAGGAAAAAAAAATAATCCAAAAGAGTTCAAAAATGTATTATAATATTGTCAATTTTGAGTTTAATTATATTGTTCATTTTCAAAGTAAAAAAATATATTGTAACTAGTTTAATTTAATAAAATATAATTTAAATTTTTAATACTAAAATTAAAAGATTTCTGTTGCATGAGGTTTCTTCACTTAAAAGATTTTGCAAAATGCCTCTACAAATGTTTTTAAAAATTAAAAACAAAGTATTTTGACAAAAGCTTTCTCAAATGCCTCTACAAAGTATTTTTAACAATTATATTGAGTTTAATTCTACAAATTAAAAGATTAAATAATAATAAATTTAATTCTTTAAATTCAAGTAGCTAGAAACTAAAATTATAGTTTCTCTGTTTTAAATAATTAAAATAAATATTTAAAAATAAAAATCAAAACTAGTATTATCTTAAATTTATTAAAAGTGTAATTAAATATCTATTTTCTTAATTTTATTTGTTTCAAACTTCTCAATTCTACATTTTTGTAAGTTCTATCATTATATTATCATCATCATCTCCTCCCATGTTCTACTTTATCTTTACAATAGTCAATATTCTTAACTAATTTATATTTTTAATTATAATTTTTTAGTATATATTTCAGAAATTAATCAATTCTAATCTATTATTTGAAAAACTAATTAATTCTAATCAATAATTTAGAAAACTAATCGATTATAATTAATTATTTGAAAAAATTATCAAA